AGTGCAACAAATTATGTTCTGGAAATCTGAAAGGTATTTTCATTTTCCTGCTAGCCCATCTGTTCTGTCATGTTTAGCAAACATGTTTTATAGATGAAGGGTTGGTGATGGGTATAAAAGTATTGTGCTGAGTTTTCTGAAATCAGTGAAATGCAGTTTTCAACAGCTGGTCCATGAACATCTGATATTTAGATCGGAAGATAATGGATGCTGCATTCCTGTCTCCAAAGAAAGGATGTAGGAAATCTTTGAAGTCCAAAACCTAATCTGGAACAAGACTATAGTCCATATTTTTATAAACATCAAGGCTAGCTGTCTTTGCTGAATGAACTGCACATGAAAACTACTAATTTTTTTGTCTTAACAGCATCTAGAACTTTTCAGTGTTAATGTTAATTTTACTCAAACCTAGTTTTCTTTGTTGTGATTATCCATAGCAGCTTAAGTTTCCTATGGAAACATTAGTAGGCTTACTTGTATGCTTTTTGTTATTTCTGATATTTTGATCATCATACCCCAATTTTTTAATGTAAAATTGTGTCTGCACTAAGTGCTTTTGTGCACAGCTGTTTTGTCATCCCTTGAGGAAGGTATATATTTAATTTTTTAGAAAGTTAATTTTCCAATCAGCATATCTTTTTTAGCGTTTTGAGGGTTTTTTACTATTAAACATCTGTAATTTTCAGTGTGATTCGGAATAATTGCTGCTAGGAGTTATGGTATGACTCAGTTCAAAACAGTCATCATTGCAATGTCTGCTTCTGCTTCTTGCATAAAATGATTTTTCTGTTTCTGATAGTTTTCTTTCATTATTTTTCTATATCCAGGTCTTTTAACTGGATTGAGTTCCGGCAACTTATTTCAAAGTCTGTCCTGTATTATGAGGAAGGACTAAAACAGGAGTGAATAACTTTCTTGGTATTGTGTTAAAGTTGTCCCCAGATGAAGTGTTTCCAACACAAAAAGAAGTTGCAAGTATATTTGATACCTGATGGTAGGCTTCATGTTTGGTTCTTTTAGGGCCCAAAGAGCCTTCCGAGGATTCTATAAACAAACTTGCTGAGTTTCAGTGTCCAGCATGGCTGGGCAGTGTTCTGGCCTGTCTGGGCTTCCTGGGGGAAAGTCTTGGAGCACAGTTTATATCGACAGATTCGATTATGTGACAAGAGGAAACATTTCAAGTTGCCTCTTAAGAGTCCTCTTAAAGCCCTATCGCTTCTTCCTTCCTGGATGTCTACTGGGCTATGGTATTTTGAGTTCTGCCTGAGTAGTGGTGGTGTTAGACTAACTGGGAATCCTGAGTGGAGTCTGGCTTCCTATTCAGCATTTAAAATATCAGTGTATTAAGTGTTGGCTTTAAAATTCTTTTACCAACAGAGTAGTTTTATAGACCCCCTTTTCATAGAAAAGTTTGAGATATGCTAAGTGAACTTTTTTCCTACATGTAATGGAAGTAACTTTGTGAAGCTTTTTCGTTGGTACTGCATTTGCATTAATAATTTTATACAGAAACTTATAACAAGGTATGGCTGTTACCGATGGCTGGATATTGAGAACACTATCCTATACATAAAAAATACAGCTTTACAAGAAACCTTACAGTAGAAGTATAGCTAGCTTTGGACTGTGCACATTTTATATACTGTTTGAGTTTACCTGCTTATTGAAGTGTGACCTAGAAATATGTGATCTTCCAAAGAATTTGGTAAATCAGGCATCAGGTCTCTGACTTGTGTTATTCATGTTGAATTAGCTGTGCTGAGTATTTTGATGGATGCCTCAAATTAAATAGTCTTCCAACACTTACAATCTGACTTCTCTGTGACTTCTTGCTTAGTATAAAGGACTGCATGGTTTTGTTTTCTCTGGAGCTGTTGTCAAGCTTTGACATTATGTTTCAAACTACTTTTGCCTTCCAAAGATATTTCATTCTGGTCATGTGACGATTCAAAAAAATATTTTTAAACTGAAAACACCCATTATGAGAAATGGTGGCCTTGTACTGGGGAAGCAGTCAGTTTACTGCAGCAGGATAGAAAAAATCATGGCATTGTGGGACACGTGCTAGTTTGTGTAATTGGAATTGGTTTTATATCCTAAATGAATCTAAGGTGATACACTTCATTGCCAGAGCTTGAGTTCTCATTGTTGTGATGGGAGCAGGTGGAAGAAGAGATGCTTTTCATGATAGAAGACCAGAAATGTCTACCTAGGAGTAATTAATGTTTTGATTTTGTTTTCCTGGATTTCATTGCTGATATTTTTAGTCTGGGAAAGTACTTGGAGCATGAAAGTAGGTTAGTTTATTTGCAAAGATCAGGCATTTAAATTGTCAGAGCTTTGATACGTATTTGAACTCCAGAAATAGAGAGGAAGAGTGGACTATTTAGATCCTCTGTGTAGTCCAGTGTGACTGTACTATGTAGAAAAAAATCCCAAAATATTTATCTTCCCCTGAACAATGGAATAATCTAGCAGCCTGTATTAAAGAACAGCACTTGTTTACCTAAAAGCTTGGTGTTTGAGCTCAAATCTTTCTTTGAAATAGATTAAATGCTTTAAAACTGGATTGTGAAAGTAACACACTGTTCTAAAATGAAAAATAATTTTTTTCTTTATCTAATGGTTTGTGCAGGTCAAATATTTAAAAAATATTATATACACATAGTTATTGTTTAGCCAAGCTATAATTTCTAGAACTTAGGCTTTTCTGTTGATTTGCTGCTTTTGCTCATTCTAACTTTTGGGTATGTGCAGAACTGCAGAATGTATTACACATAAGGAAGGAGCCATGCACAGAAGATGTCTGGGAAAGAGGGCAGTTGCCTTCCTGTTTCTAGGCATGTTATCTCTTCACCTCAAATTCAGAGAGGTACTTGTCATCATACTGTTCCACATTTTACTGACCAACCCCTCTTTCCAATAAAATACCATCATTCTTGATTTCTAGAATAGCTCTCCTGTGGTTATCTGTTTCCATATTTTGCTGCAGGTCTGGAAAGCAGTATGAACAAAATTTCCAGTGCCTTTAAGTTGCAAGAAATATATAGCATTCCCGTTTCTGGATAGAACAGAAGCTCCTTAGTGGAGAAAATTTCCACTGTACTTAAATGCAAGATGGCAGCAGCTGAAATGACCAGTGATGGGAATAAGGTTAATCAACCTGCCTTGAGCTTCCCTGTAGGAGAAATATTCTCCAGCAAATAGTGTTTTCTTTAAGGAGAGATTCAGTCTCCTCTCTCAATTCTGATGCTATTGTTGACTAACAGGCTAAGGCAGCAAGTGCCTAAACCCATTTGTAACGTTCCTTCTATTGCAGTGCTTCATTCACCAAGAAAAACGATCCATGTTAATCCGAGTCCATGATGTTTCTCAAGAACTCTTATCAAGAAACTCTTTAAAAGAATTCCTTAAACTTGTCCTTGGGTTTTTATGTATACTTTAGGGTTTTGAATTGAACCAACCAGTTTATTCTGCAAGTTCTGTAGCAATGCCTTATAAGGAGACCATTCTAAACTGACTTTGTGTGAAGTTAGAGCTGTGTAGGAAAGGATACAATTCAAGTATGACTGTAAACAGTGCCTGAGACCTTTTAATTATACCAGGTCCTACAAACCTCAGCAGTGTGTGCTTGAGCTGGGCAGCACTGCTGTGCTCCTAAAACATAGGATGTGGGTGCAGACAGTAATTCACGTGCAGGCAGAAAAACCTTTATTCAGTGTGTAGCATAACCTGTGTCTGTATGAGTAGCTAAGTACCAGGTGAAGCTTGGATCGCTTCAGATGCTGTGTATACTCTTTTCTGAGCTGTAACTCTTAAAGCCTCCTTGAGATCCTTAGTTGCTCGTCCCAGCATGTGGAAGTCACATCAAGTAAACTCCCACTGCAGGAACTGCATTCCCCAAACTATTTGAATACTGCTTTGCATGAAGTTGTAGACTTGGGCTCTTCATTTTTTTCAGGAGACCATACCTTGTTGTGGCACTGAAGAAGAGATGGGGATTCTCTATTGCTAATTCCTAAACAAAAGGATAGTAGGCACGTATAGTTGTCATGCCCTGTTCTGTGTAGCATTGGACCAACTGAAACAAGGCTGAGACAATTGCAGCCACACAGGACAAAACTTGCAGTACAGTGGTGGAACACAGGAGATGTACTTAATGTTCTTTTGTTAAGTGCCCCTTAGCAGACTTGTGACTGTGTGGTTCTGCAATCACTGCATGGTGATGGTTTTGTTGTCTGTAGCAGATGCTGGAGAAGATAATTGCTCTGGTACCTGTCCTTGACTGATTTTTGCCCTTCTCTACTGGTTGCTTCCTCTCTGCTGATTTTGCTTCCCCTTTTTAAACAGATGAAAATATACTTTATGCTAGTTTATCTTCCAAGAGAAATGTGGGGATTTCTAATTTTATAATTCAGACTATACAAGGGAAGAGAGACGTAAGCCCTTCAAAAACAAGGACATTGATTGTAAGTCAGTTTGATGTTATTATGGTAACATCTTTCTTCTTTAGCAATAAAGCAGCAACCAGTGTAGAAAGCATGAAACCATTTCCTTGTCTCTAGGATGATCAGTTTTTAGTGGCTTTATGTTTGTGTAGTGAAAGTAGAATGTTCAGTTTTAGAAGACTGGACAGGATTTTGAAAAGCATTGTAAGTGCATGTTTTCTTACTTTTATAGTTCTAAGTGTCTTTAAAAATAAGTTTTCTCTTGCAGAAAAGAAACCAGTTGCAGGTAAGCAAAAGTTTTCTTAATTCTATTATGTGATATTTTGTACAAAGGAAGATTAAAATAGCGTCCCCTATTAGCACAACTCCTTTTACACCAGTGTGTTAAGCTCATAGTATTTGGGAATGTTCATGTTTTTATGGGAGGGAAATAAAGTGATGATGTAGGGTTTTTTTTCTATTAAACTCTGCTTTATCTTCTGTAATCAAGACTATAAAATTACTATACTGACTTCCTTTGATTTATGTTCTTTCTCTTTCTTTATGCACAAGCACTCCTATTTGGACAGGGAAACCTCCCTCCTTCTGAGAAACATTGCAGGAAAGCCTTCTCATTTGCTGACCAAGGTGATGCTTCTTGTTTCCACCTGTATGTCACTATTTCTATGTAGAAAGAATGCTTTTGGTGTGTGCTATGCTTCTCCCACCCCTGCCTGCCCTTTCCAGAAACTTGTGCATTTGCTTACATGATTTTCCTTATTATCCAAGGTGCTTTTAAAGGCTGAATTTTATTGTTTGTTTCTGCAGATTTATCAAAGTGTTCAAGTTCTTGACAAATATTTAATAGCCATGTCAGCAGGTAAAATGCCTTAGCTGGAAAGGAAGTGTACTGAGCTAAAAGTTCTTTTGTTCCTATTGCCATTCGCTAGTTGAAAAAAAAAGAAGATCATAACTGTGGAAAATATGTGGGACTGTTCAGTACTTTTAAAAGGCATAAGTAGCCTTAAAATAGGTTCACTTGCTGTATCAAAGATAAACTCTAGTAAGTAATGGGATTTCTTTTTATAACGTTTTGAATGTTGTCTTAATATAATGTGGGGAGAATATCCTAGTAAAACAGTGGTCTAATGAGCCAGGTATGTATGAACTCTGATTATAAATTCATTTTCTTCACAGGAAAGAGGTCAGTAATGTACTAAGAGAGCACAAATTGTTCTTAAGTCTAAGAGTTATATCTTCAATATGTATTTCCTTCTGAAACTAGAATAGGAGGGATGGAGCAAGCTATAAATCTCCTTGATGAAAAGACAAGCTTGGATGAAGAACAAACATACAGCTTTGTGTAGTTCAGAAAACTTTGAATATTCAGTGGCTGAGGTGTCAGATGTCTCTTGTGCTACTACCTACTGCAAACTGTCCCTTGGGTTGTTTTTGTAAAATAGACACACTAGTGGAGAAACCTCAGGCAAGCCTGAAGTAACAAAATGTATCTTGGGGACTTCAAAACAATAAGAATAATGCTGGGCATAAGTAGTCTGTATTTAGCAATAAAAGTTTAGAATTAGTTTACTGCTTTTTCTTAAATACCTTAATATTCTTCTCAAAGTGCTCAGCATCTATTTTGACAACAAATTTTCAGTCTGTCTTCTAGAGGAGTACAAACAGCCAAAACCAAGTAATCTTCTGCTCTTGTGATTGTTTTGCTTAAAATTTAAGTCCATACCTCCTTCTCCCCCCGCAATAGCTCCTCTACCCTGCTGTGCACCCCACTGTGCCCCCAACAAAGCAAACAGCCACCAAACCAGCAACCTTGACTCATTACAGATAGATTAACAACAGCTGTGGCACAAATAGAAACCATAAGTTTCTCTTTCATCTCCATGTGTTTTCAGATCCTCCCTTCTGATTGTTTGTATGTGGGGTGAGTGTTGGTTACCATATGGAACTTCAGTTTAAAAAGTGCATAAAATTATCCTGTTATGTCATATGACCGTGGACTAGCTCGTATCAGTGATTCTGATAGACTCCTGAAGTTAAATGTTTGTGTTTATAAATCTTTATGTTGGCTAATTAGACTTTGTAGCCCTTTGATTCAGATGCTTTTGGTAAGCTTGCTGATTTTCTGAGGATAATGTTGCTTGTTCAGCTTGGGACTGTCAGTACAGTGGTGCCTCTACTTCTGACTACTGAGCACACAGGTCTGGTGTGGATACTTACTGCTTCTCTTCTGACCTCCTGCAAACAAATTTCTTTAGTAAAATGATGAAATGGAAATCCACTTTGCTGCTTAGATCTCTTCACCACCTTAGATAAGTGCTTCACCACCTGTGTAAGTGAAGCAGTCCCAAGAAATGGGGCATTTCCTTGTAGCAAGGTGTTAGATAAGTTAACTGTAGGATCATGTTGCAGCTCTATGCTGGTGTTCGTGGTGTGTCAACTATTTCTTATTATCTTACTGTTTCTGGTATTCTTTCCTTTCTTTGGTATGTCTACCTCTTATATTGAGACTAGAGACACTTTGGGAGAACAACAGTACCATTTTTGTCCTCTGGTAATATAACTAATTGTAGAAATTCTAGTCATGCACTAAGTTCCCTTTGCACTACAATCATGCACACACACAGTTCCTGACACAGTGTAGGGCAGATCTCAGCACAGAAAATGATGCATTAGTTTAATGATTCATATATGTATGCCAGCATCTGGAGGTAAAGGAATCATGTAACACCTTTTCTTCCCAAATATTTGGTACATCATTCTTCTTTTCATGTTGATCTGAAAGACAAATATTCTTCTTATGAATGTTGATTGCAGTGGTTTGTAGATTTTTGATTACTGCACACTAATTCCTTCAGACTTTTCATTAAATAAGTTGTGATGTTGGCTTCATGCATCTTAGATCAATCTGATTCAGATGTTGTGTTCGTTCTTGAATGAAGCATCTGTTTGAGATTTTTTTTTAGTGCAGCTTAAAAATACAGCAATTCATTTCTAATCTGCAAAGGATGTAAGCACAGTCTGAAAACTCCAGCCTCCCACAGCCAGTTTTTGAGGAAGCTGTGACGGCCACATCTAGAAACCTGAAAAAATTATATAGATGGTAGTAGCAGGATTTTGCACAGTGTTGAAGTTAAATAATGAAATTTTTCTTCAACAAGCTATTGTGTACTAACCTGCTGTGATCATTGTGATGTTCCTGTGTAGTTTTAATATCACCTTTTTCTTTTCTAGTATTATAATGATATTATATATTCTATCAATATAATAAAACGTAATTTATGTATTATTTATAATAAGCTTGTGGTGACATTGTTAGACAATCAGCCTATGTTCTGAAATCTGTTTCTACCCTGTTCCGAATATCAGTTGAGCTTTTTGTCCAGCTAGAACTTGCCAGTCAGTTGTAGTCCCTCATCTGTTATATTGTAGTCTTCTTTCCACTCTCAAAATTCCTTACTGTGATTTCTAAGGCCTGTTCTTCAATCTGGTTTGTTTGGTTTTCCCCCCCCCTTTCTTGCTTTTGCCTGGTCCCAGATCCCAGTACCTTTTGTTCTATAACTCTTTGCCCCAGTGAGGAGCCTGGCCTAGAGCAAGGCAGGGTCTATTCAGGGGCAAGCAGGCTGATAATGTGGTGCAGGTTGCTTCAAGGGATAAAGAGCCAGTGAAACTCCATTGGATTTTTTTCTTCATTGCTACTAGCTTTGTCAAATCTAGTTTGAGTAGTCTTTCAGGGAGACAGCAGAATGCATGTCTCAATTGATTAATATTTTATCTGCCATCCCTTGAAACATACCTTCTAAAGGACACAAAGTCCAATTTGAGGCATTAACCAAAATTAATGCACCTGAGAGGTCAATACTGGGTCCAGTACTTTTCAACATCTTCCTTAGGGATGTGGATGGTGGGGCCTTCTTTGTGCCAGTAGACTGTGGGGAAGATCCCTTCTGTGGGAATTTGTGACAAGGGCCAGTGTGACTTTGAAAAGCAATTAAAATGTAACTGCTGCTTTCCAATTTCCATTCAGAAGCCACCTCTGTGTTTGAGTTAGGCTTCTAATAGCAAAGAGTTTGTGAATGGTGCACAGAAGTAGAACAAAGGAAAAATATGGCACTACCCCAGTGTAGTGTCACTGTGATATTTAAGACCTTCCCAGGTGAATAATTCTCAGGCATAACCCCCAAAACAATACTACTGCTTCAGATCCATTTCCATGTTTAGTAACATAGTGCAATATGGTGGCAATGTCAGGAATATTTGAGAGTATTAAGCTGGGAAGGAAGAAGGAAGAAATGTGCAATGAGTCTATGTTAGGGAGGATGAACTCCTCACTGGAAGAAATTACTGATGTACACTCACATCTAGTGAGCTTTGAAAGAGTCATGTCTTGCTTCCCTTTCTGCTTCACCCAGATATTTTGGGGTAAACCCAAGTTATTTTGAGAATGGCCAAGAACTACTACTGTAAACACAAGTTCACTGTTTATAAATGGACTGTGCTGCTATTGCCACAAAATGGTTTTTAGAGTAGGAGTGTTCTGCTTGTCCTATTGAGTTTATCAAGAAGACCTGCTCTTTATATTCACACATTTGGGTTTTCCCTTCTAGTGCCAATCACATACACACTTGTTCTAGTGTTCTTTTTAATAATAAATGAAAGCAACCAACAGAAAACACTTCATTAATGTGATTAATATTCAGATTGATATACATTAAACATGGGACTAATAGAGATGTCTTGAAGTTTTGGGCCATTAGGTACAAATGGAGATGTCAATATGGTGTTCTCTGGCAGGAGAAAACTCTGTTTCAGTAAAAGCTCTTTAAGAAGGACAGTCCTTGCAAGACAGGTGATTGCCTTTCTACCCGAGGCTAGACTGTAGCTGGGAAAATAAACAGTGGATACCTGCTTTTAGTCCTTCAGAAGTCAATGCTACTTATGTATTTAGGTGTCTTCTTATCTGCATTCAGAGAAGGAATTCAGACAAAAAAAATCAAATATTAATGAAAGAAGAAATTTCTTCTTCTATGTATCTTGTGATTTGTGTATCTGCCCTGCTAAATTCAGTGAGATGTGGACTTTCTTACCTAGCTCTTATTGTTTAATTACTGGATTTCCTAAGTACTGTAATCTTTTTTAAGTGGTTCCACCCCCTCTTTTTTTCCCCCCATTCTTTCTGTGATCTCTGTAAAAGGATTCAGTTAATGACCCTTTAAAAATGTAACATGAAGCAGAAAATAAAGTCCCAGCCTAGAAATGTGAGGCACAAAGTCATTTCGGCAAGGTCAGCTTTGTCATTGCATGCATCTTGCATATTTAATGCTAAAACACAGGTGAAATTTCTGATAACTGCATATTCAACTGGAAACTGGGGCAGGAAATTGTGATCATCATATTAAGGAAATCTTTATTTTTTGTGTGTGTTATTCTTTATGATATTGCACTGTAGGCTAAAATTATCAAAAACAGTTCTGGTATAAAAATGCAAAGAAAAAGGTCATTCATTTAAGACCATCGCGTTGCAGAGATGTGCATTTCCATTTTAGTTCAGAATGTTAGAATATTTTGGATTAACAAATTCTTAATGTAACTATGTTGCCATGTATTCTTTACATCAAGTGTGATGTTGTCCATTACCAAAAGTATTCTTGGCTCAAAGCTTTAAAATGCAAGTGTAGCAATACTCCCAAAGTAGTCCTGTTAAAGTGAGGGATTTATGTTGCAATTTGACCCTACTATGTGTAGCAGTGATGTGTACTGCTACTGAAAGAGCAGCAGTAGTTTCCTGCCAGAGGTGGAAATGACACTGCTTTGTGTTTTGTGTTTCTCTGCAGTGTGTGTGTGTATCTCCTTTGATTTCCAGAGCATGTCCATGACCGTAAAGGTGGTCTTGCCAAGGAGTGGATTCTGCTGAATCTTTCTGCTCTGTCAGTTTTCATGCAGATCAGCTCTGTGACCAGACTGTCTGTGTGGCCACAGCAGCACTGTGAATGCTGTCACTGAGCACTGATGCTGTGAGAGGGAGGCAGGGCAGTGGCCACATCAGGATTTACTGGTATGGACCACCTCTGGTACCCCCTGAAGGGGCTGCTGCTTACCTGTATTTTCATGACCCTTCAGCAACTCATATCACAAGCTGATGGATGCTTTTTCCTGCTAAGAACTTGTCTTGGTTTCATGTACATGGGAGGAGAGAGCCTGTGTTTGTGGTTAAGTGCAGTTTTGGGCTGCCTTTGATGTGGAGGAGACTGTTTTCTTGGGCCATTAGGAGACAAATAGAAGAAATTGTTGTGAGTTTTGATCTGAATCCTGTGGTTATTCAATTATTTTATGAAATCATCAAAATAGATAGTTCTTCCTCCTTTTGTGATAGCAGCAGTGATGCAGCAGTGGCCTGAGCTGTAACTATAAAACAAAACTTGAATAGCTTAAAATCCTTGACTACTATATGCTTTCAGAAATTTCTAATTCTTGCTTCTTTTCCTCTGTATGTTTCCAGTAAGTAGATTCAGACCTCTTTTTATGATTTGTTAGTGGCTGAAAATGGTTCTTATTTTGATAATTCTAGTTCTGGGGTTTATTTTGTTGTTGGTTTGGTGGTTTTCTTTTTTTAATTTAAACTGACTTTATATTAGAGTTTAACAAAGTATAAGAAATCCTGATCTCTAGACCCACATAATATTGAGTAGGAAATGAAAAGTTATTGGTAGGCATTAAAATAGTAAATCCTCAAAGTCTTTCTTGATCTACATATTTATTTTTAAAAGCATTTTAGGGAATGATGGATTATAAACTTAGAGATCACCAAAGATATTTTAGCTGTGTTGGCACAGGTATCTGGGAGGCTGCCAGCTGATTCCTTGTTGCTTGCCCTTGTGTTGCTGCCTGTGCACAGTGGTGCAAAGTGCTCCTGTGGGGTTTGCTGTCGGCAGTGGCATCTGCACAGGTGTGCAGTGAAATGGGCTGGAAAATTGGGCTGCTTGACTTTAACAAAGAGCAAAACTGAATGTGCTGTCAACCTTTTTAAGGCAGTAGAGGTTTATGGTTAGGTTAATGAGAAGCTTTTTTAAATATGAATGAGTTTCTCCAAATGTATGATGAAATGAAGTCTTCTGGTTTTGCTGATTTCATAATGTACAGGTACATGGCATCACTTCTGGAAATTTTACAGTCTTTAAAGCCTTGCTTTTTAGTAATAATTTATTTGTACAGAAGGAAATGGTTAGTGTTAAGGAATAAGAAGAAAAATGATTCTTGATATCATGGCACTGTTTTTCATAGACTGCTAATCTGATTTAACCTTTCTAAGCTGTATGACACCGTTGTTATTGTGAATACAAAGCTGAGGTTCCCTGTAGATTAATAGAAACTGTGTGCCTTGGTAATTCAGTTCCCAGATAATGTTTCAGGCTCACATTATTTCTGCTTGTGTCAACTTCCTGATTTATTTTATTGAAAAGAACTACGTTTCTCTCAAGGCAGCATACTCTCCTGCCTAGCTGATGTTTTTTCCCCGCTGCATAGGATGGTCATAGGATGTGAAGGACCAAAAGCTGCTAAAACTGCAGTAAATAACAAGAGAATGTTCTTTAGCAGTTGATAAGACTATTAGTAGCACATTTAGAAGTACAAAACTTAAACATTGTGGATTTCAGAATAGCTAAATCTTGACTTTTACAAGAAAAGCAACCATCTAAACACATGGCAAAGAAACCACAGATTACATTTGTACAAGAAAGCAATGGAGAACTAAGTGTCTATGAATGTTGATGGACTGTGCTGCTTTGGATCTGAGAAAAATTTAAATTTTTCTTTCTTAAAGAGATTGAATATTTTTGGAGGAGGTTTGCTTATTTCATATATTTGTTTGTTGTGCTAGAATTTAAGATTGTGAAAGCCTGAAACCTGCATATGTCATTTTCAGAACAGTGGTTGCTTGTTTAGCTGCATGTTTCAAATGCAATTTCAACAGAAATATCTGTAATCTCAAACTGAAAAGTTTATGTTGCTAGTCTTAAAATATACAGTTTTCTTTAGCATCAGCAGATAGATTCGTTACCTGAATTTTCACTGCACTTCCAGTTGTAACAAAAATAGATTATTTAGAAGAGCAAAAGGATGCCTGTTTGCTTTTTGTGTCTTAGAATACTTAAAGGAAGGAGAAATGCAGCTTGGATTTAGTAAAGATAAAGGGAGCATTGAAGCTTCTTACTGCAAATGTATTTACTAGTTTAAAGTCTTTCAAACTAATGTATGTAGTATGGGATCCTATTTATAGGATTTGTTTTCTTACTTTCTGTGTGCTGTTAAATTCTGATACTTCTCAGTGTGCTCTTTGTGTTCTATGTCAGTCAGCCAAAAATCTATTGGGTGTACTCCTTTGTACACTCTTGTTGAATGTGTACTGTCCAGCCCTATGACTGTAAATATATGATTTGCTAAAATATTTGGTAGCAATGCACAAAGCATTGTGGAAAGATGTGGAAGAACAGAGACACACCAAATGTCTATACAAAATATGTACCTCCAGTAAGTTCTAATGGCAATTGTATTTCTAAATGTTAGATAATAATACTTCTTGTCTTAAAAAATAATAGTCTTTGTTGTCACTGAGAAATAGTTGAGGATTTGTAGGTGAGCAAATCAGCATTTCAGTTCATGTTTTAAAGCATGGTAGCCTCGAAATTATATCCACTGAAACCAGACTGAAGTTTGTGTTAACTGGAACTGTGTGTGTTGTGTCCCCCTAGGAGGAACAGGCTGCTAAACTCAAAGCTGAGAAGATTAGGGTTGCATTAGAGAAGATTAAAGAAGCACAAGTGAAAAAGGTAAGTTAGTTATATTGATTTATAAGATCTTTATTTTATTCTTTTTCCCTTGGAAAATGCAGGAAATTCACTTCTCATTTGTGTCTATTACCCTTAAGTTGCCCTAAATAAAACCACTGTGGTGTTCTAATCTAGAGTGGTAATGTGGTTTCTGATCTAGACTGCACCTAATCAAGAAAACCCTAGCATATGGAATAACATTATGTTTTTCTTAAGGAATAGCTTATTTTGCAGCTAGTGCACATTGAGAAGACTTTACCAGCTTCAACCCAGAAGTGAAATGAAGGTCCAGCCTCCTGAGATCGTCCTTGCATATTCTGCAGTCACACCTTTAAAATTGCGCCTGTTTTCTTTGCAAACCCCTTCCCATTATGCATAGCAGGATTTGCCAGTGATAAATGGAAAACAAGTATTCCAAACTAAAAACAGGGAGTACCAAGTGGAGAAAGTCTACTGACATTACTTGATGTACTCTCAAAAAATATAGAGTTCCCTTAACATTTAGCATTCTTATTTTGCAATTGGATTTTTTCAGTAGCTTAAAATACCTTTTACATTACATGATTATAGATGAAAAGCTAAAAACTGCTCTGGCTGGAGGATGGAAATTAAAAAGCCAACCAGTGTATTACAACCAGTAGATTTTATCTTTTCCATCTGAACAAGATGTAAAAATGGAAGCATAATGATTGACAAAAAGAATCTGTTGTCTTAAGTTTTTTGATTGGTTAAAAAAATGGTTGGATTTTTGTTTCTGGACAATGACCTCTTTAAATGCCTATGAAAAGCCATTGTGTTTTAAAAGCAGATTTTTTTTCACACTACTGCTCCATATTCCCCAGAAAAATAACATTTGATACAGGTATATTGTTTACATAATCATCATTTTTAGAAAATATGGACAAAGGAGACAGAAAACTTCAAATGCAAATCTGAAAAATTCTGGTTCTTTGTAAGTTTGTGCAGAACTCTTTTGTTCCACCTACACATGCGAGAAAAATTGTCTCAAAGGCACTTTATTAATCAGAACAGGACACTTTGCCAGGAGGGATTTTTTTTCCCTCCGTAACACACAACTAAAGCATGTTGTCACTGTATTGGAAAGACTTTTATGTTTACCCTCTTATACTGAAGGAGAACAGTATCTTGTTGAGTGTCTGTGATACAAATATCAAACCATCATTTATGACTTCTCCCATTTTGAGGAAGTGTTTTGGCTGAACTTAATATTTTATGCTAATTGTAAGAAAATCTTAGAAGAATAAACAAGATCTAATAAACAACCATATTTTTATGTGAAATGTGGTAAATTAATCCTTTTTGTTTTCCTAATTTTTTACTTAATAGTTGGTGATCAGAGTCCATATGTCTGATGACAGCTCAAAAACAATGATGGTAGATGAGAGGCAGACAGTGAGACAAGTATTAGACAATCTGATGGACAAATCACACTGTGGCTACAGTTTAGACTGGTCATTGGTGGAAACCATCTCTGAATTGCAAATGGGTAAGTAATAATTACAAGTATTTATAATTCTTACCTGTTAATGCAACAGTTGCCTATATCCTCAGAGTTATTTAAACACTTGGCTTCGTAATGTTCATCATCCCGTTCGTTAATGTAGTAAGTGCTAATTCATTTAATGAAGCTCATGACTGACTTTGTTTCAGAATGATCTGGAAATGATTTCTTCTTTCATTTAAAAAGCATGGCTAAATTCTTTGGTGTGATATAGTAATTTTTCTAATGTCTAGTCACCAGGCCTCTTGGTTTTGATGATTTCTTCACCGAAGAAACAGTTAAGGGATAAAATACTTAACGTTCATCTTCCTCTTTGTAAATAGTATTTTAAACTGATAGCTCTTATTGCAAAAAGCTGTCTATGTTTTTTCCCTGTTAAATATTTGAATGCAACAAGCAATATTCCTCTAAGAGCAGCTAAAGCTCCTTTGCACTGCATTGCACATACCACAATGTAAGTTGTTCATTTAGCCAAAGGATACAGCATCTGAATGGAAAAGAAGGTGAATGGGTAAGGTGCACCTTACCCATTGACTTTGATAAAAGAAAAACCTGGAACTGAACCCAACTATCTTGATTTCAAATTACAATGAAAATTAATATTTCCTCTCTCTTTTGGTGAAACCTTTTCTATATCAGGTAGCGTAGCATGTTAACATTGCTTATTGTTAAGGGGGAAAAAAAGGGTTGTTGTGGGGTGAATCTTCTACCTATCCAATGAAGGCTCAAAACCTTAAAATTTTAATAAACTCTTTTCTTGTAATGACAGTTGATATGTTTTGAAAGCTATCCACTTTCACTAATGAGGCTGCAGTGAGATGTGAGTTTTTGTATCACAGTGCTCTGAAGCTTTTTTGTTTTGTTGTTCTGTTAGGTGATGACTTTTTTACTTTCTTGGAAGACAGTATTGCTGTGTTGTTGATAGAGCTTGAATTATTTTGTGGGAGAAAATCATATTCTGCTTTCAGATGCAGTTGAAAGGTCAAGCAAGTCCCAAATGATTCTGAAAAATTTAATTTGCTGAAATGCCACTGTATGATCTATGTGAAGAGGGAACAAATTGTAGAAAGCTAGCTTCTACTTCAGTGTCTTTGAAAGGAGGAAAAACTTGGTCTAGTGGTTTCCTGAAGATGTCTCCTTCCTTATTTATTTTAGAATGAGAAATTTTAGCTATTTCTCTACCATTTCAGTAAATTTTCCTCTTTTTCCTTGATCTGTTCTCTTTTGCCTATTTTCAGTATTCTGAAGTGCTAGTACTAGTGTACTAGAGATAAACTATTTCAACAGAGAGTCAAAGTTCAGAGTTCTCAGGAGCCATTGGTAATACATCATTTATTCATCAAGAGAGATTGTAAGAAGTAGACAGTGTCAGTTTTCAGACCTCTTTACAAATCCCCTACTAACCATGGGTATTCCACATTTCATAGGCATTTTGTTTTCCCTCTGATCATTGCCCATTACTTTTTTGATACTTAGATAGTGATTGGGGATGCTGTAACAATTTTTATGCTGAAAAAGCTGCCTAATACATTCCTCCAGGGCTTGTGTAGACCAGAGTACATATAAATGTGATAACCTTCTTATTTTTACTCATAAACTTTGGAATATCATCATTGGAGTCTGCAGTGTTCGTGTGGGATAGTAGACTTTGTCAGATTAAAAAAACAAAAACACATTTTATGTTGCTGGAACTCTAAGCCTGAAGGTACAGAAGTCAGTGCTGAATGATTGTATGTGTAAAATTAACCCAGGCATGTCTGAAAGATGACTAAGTTCTTTTAGTTTCTTAGCATAAACTTCTTTCCATTGTAATAGACCTGGAACTCTTATTTTCTCTGCATGTATGCCTTATCTCCTAGATATGACTAGAGATTAATTTATCACAAAATGAAACATATTCAAATGTATTTACTCTCTTGTTATTGCTGCAGAAAGGATCTTTGAAGATCATGAAAATTTAGTTGAAAACCTTCTGAACTGGACAAGAGATAGTCAAAACAAACTGATGTTCGTGGAACGTATAGAGAAATACGCACTTTTCAAGAATCCACAGGTAAGCCTGTGGTTCATGTTGAATGCGTGTGTGACTGATGGCAGCTTCTAACTTTTTTTGGTAGCATTCTTTTCCGTTCTTTTTATGTGTTAAAATGCCAGGCAACTTTACACTTTGGCACTGTGTACACCCACAGTGCTGTTGGCACAAAATCAAGTCCTCAGCGGATAACTGAGCTGAAGCAATCTGTTTGCAAATGTGTTTGTGGGTAGTTTTAATGGAGATGAAGGCAGACAGTTTCATGGGATTTACACTCATACTTAGTGCTGCTCAAATATGTAATTATGCCAGAAAGGTGTTGACAGATATTGCTAATAGTAGTGGTTCTCCACTGTGCGTTCTTACATTGCTGGCAAGAAGGGGAAGACAAAAATCTAAGAGAAGAGCTTCTCCATGGTCACATGGCAAATGAAGAGAAGAGAGCATGTGTCCCTGTGGAAGCTGGGACCTGGTACTCACCTGTGTTTCCTGGTCCTTGGCTAGGAAACCAAAGACCCCACTTCTCTCTCAGATGGCTTCAAAGACTTCTCTCAAGTGATTTGATATCTGGAAGCAGTTCAGTATTGCAAGGGAGTGGAGAAAAAGGAACAGCAAAGCAGAAAGTTGTTCTTAGAAGAATTTGAATTGAAAAGAACCGGATATCATATCACTTGATCTCCCTCTTAACTCCTAGCTAATGTGTTCCCTTTTGGGGTTATAGATTATTTTTATGTCTGTATGGCATCTGTGTGCTAATTTCTTGGATTTAAACTGGATAACAGTTTTGTAAGCTCATCCTGTGGGACAACAGCAGAGTACTTGATTTTACTTTTTTTTCAGCAGGAACTGAAAACCATGTCTTATTCAAGTGCTTTGCACTGAAGCAGCAAAACTCTACGTCCTTTTTAAAAGTTTGTGGTTGATACATTTGCTGTCAGTACATATGGTAGGCACTGTCAACAAGGAGGTACCAGTGTAAACCAAACATTTCTGCTTGGTTTAAAATATTGAACTGGCTCAACTTTATGAATATTTGGGGTTTTTCCAGTATTAGAGCTAGGGGTTAAGAAGATTGTTTTCCATTGCCCTAATCTTTTCCAAACCGAGTAAGAGTACAAAACTTATTTAGTAAGATATGGTACTTGTGCATACTTAGATTCCCTTTAAGAAGATGAGAAGTATTTTATTTGGTAATTCTTTGTGAAAAATAAATATTTTTATTCCGCAAAACTGTCAGGGCAAGATGGAACAAAGTACATTGCTTCTGTGTGTGCTTCTTTGAATACAGAAATAATGGCAGTATGTAACAAGTTTAAAGATCTCTGGGGTTTTCTATATTTTTATTGTGGGATTTTCAAGTTCATAGTATTTTTATTTTTGGATACATTGTAACAGACAGCTGTTTGATTCATGGAAAGTCAGGACAATGTTGTTGTGAGGCTGTCAAGAGTATGGACTGATTGATAGTTCTGGTAAAGGTGATTATAAGTTAGAGCAATGCATTATTTAGCAGTCTGACAGAAAGTTTCAGTTAAACTACAAAGTTTTGTTTAGTTCACACGTTGTTCTTAGTTAATAGCTGGGGTTTTTTCTTACTGCTACAGAAAGGAGAACAAGAAATATCATTTGGCTTGATTTCAGAATGCCTATAGAAATACTAAGCTTTGTTTTGTTACAGAACTATCTTCTGGGGAAGAAAGAAACCTCTGAGATGGCAGACAGAAATAAAGAGGTGCTGCTAGAGGTAGGCATGCCAAACCAGAAAGGACATACTGGTCATTTTGGAGCTTGAAGCTAAACTCCAGAAGGTTGTGGTGATTGGAATTGATGGACAGAGCTGAATGTAATTGTGGAAGACTGTGAATGGAGTGGGTTATATTTGAGATAAATGGCTGTTTTCGTGTTGTACTGTTTCAGATGCAATCAGTTAATATAAAGTTTCTATATTTAGTTTAGTATCCAAAGTACCATACACAGTGATAATCAAAATGAAGTTGCCTGTAACTAGGGCTAAAACCTGTTGACATTTGTTGAACTGTCACCTGGGGTTTTTGACCTCTGGTGGTAGAGATTTTTTTTTTTATAGTATTTTCCAAATTCTTATTTTCTACAGAATTCTATAGCTCTGGTTTTAGTGACTGGTCTAAGTTAATATTTTAAATTTTGTTAATAAGGAAAGTAGTTAAGAATTGTTTCAATTACATTTAAAATAAAAACCAAATATTGAATTTTTAAAAACGAGTGACAGAAAAGTAATTATATCAAACATATTAAGCAGTTTGCAGAACCATGGACATGGAGCAAATAAAGCAAACAGAAAGCATGGCCTTCATAAGCTGAAAACTGAATGTTTTTGTGACATGGCTGAAGTGCCATAGGTTCCACTTGATTTCCAGAATAATGGTTATGATAGTCACACAAAAGTAAATATTTTGAGTATTTAATTTTGGATTAAACTTAATACAGTTTAACTTATTAGTAGCATAGGCGTGTTCTTAGTATATTGTTAATACAGATTTTAATAAGGGTTTGTGTGCATACTAGAGATCAAAAAGATGCTTGAAGTCATGACATGCAGAGAGTTGCAATTCTACCTTATTCTTTCTATCTTCTAGGTTTATTCACAAGTCTCTGTGCTGCATATTAATCTGGAGTGTATTTAAAGCATTTTTTTTCCTCTGTTAGCTCTTTATAAATAGAACCTTGACAGAAGCTCTAGTGTTGATGGCAGTTAGTAGCAGCAAAGTACTCCTGGAATGAATTATAGCTGTAGCTGATGGATGTGCAATTAGGTTTTGTGGATGCTTACACAAATGAGGCTGTATCTGTAGGGTCACCTCATGACCTTAAAGCCAGTAAAGCCATTGGGGGCTCTATTACTGATCTGCAGTGGTTAGAAAATCTTTTCAGTAGCTGCTAATGATTTTTTTTTGTCATTGTTGCAATGAGCCAATGCTAAGGTGCTAAGCACCTTATTACTTCTATGATTAGTCTGTAATTCATACCACTCTGTGGAAAAAAAAGAGCTATGCCTGTTATGTGCTCATTCCTTAGATAAAGGATTTCAGTCATCAAAAGCAAACCAATGCACACTCCATGTTCTGTCTGTTTCCCAAACCACTGTGTTTATCGGCAGGAATGTTTCTGTGGAAGTTCTGTAACTGTGCCAGAGATTGAGGGAGTTTTGTGGCTGAAAGAGGATGGTAAGAAGTCTTGGAAGAAACGTTACTTTCTTCTTCGGGCTTCTGGAATCTACTATGTCCCTAAAGGGAAGGCAAAGGTATGCTATTTTAAAGCAATTTCCCTGAATTGTTTATTGCTGGTAACTAGTGCATATGAGACTTTAAATTTTGACTTAGCTGTGCCTTTCCTAGTGCCACATCCTTAATTAAAAAAGCTAACTTTATCGTAGAAATATGGTGTAAATTACTGTTGCAGCACTTGTTGTGAAGGATATAACCCCAAATTTAAAAATACAAGAAGATAAGTGTCTGCTTTTTGAGTGAGTTTAGGGTTAGGTGATCAGAACTACTTGAGGAAAAATTTTTGGTGGACCTAAGAAGCTATCTTTTTCTCAAGCATAAATCAAATGGAGGACCAAATGGCACTGCAGCTGCCAATTGTGGAGTATCAGACCAAATCCACAATCAGTCTGAATAATTTCATTGGGTTTAGTTAATTCATATAAATGAGATTCTTCTTGGACCAACTGGTGATATGTTTTTTGAAACTGATAATTACAATACCATTTCTTCAGTGTCACTGCTGTTCTGTGTATTGATGATGAGAAGTGAATAGAAAGCTGCTACAAATATATCACATCTTCAGGGCTGAACTACTGTGAGTTGAAATTGTCCATGAATTCATCAATCTCGACAGCATCAACTGATTCTCAGGACGGGAAGGCCACCTCCCACACAGCTGGCAATGAAGAGGAAATCTCTGTCAGTGCATCAACTCCCTTTAGAGTTGAATACATGCCAGATGTTCTTTCCACAGTCTTTTGTTTTGTTAAAACAATCTGTGTGCAAGTGGCCTGTTGAAATTCTGTGCCCTACGATCACTGCCAAACATCTTTAGAATTCTACTCACAGTCACACTGGAATTTGGACAACTCGATTATTACTGAGATTAAATGTAACCAACAGCTCTTAACTTCCTGGTCCACCAATCATATTTACTTTCTTCTGATACCTGCTCTGACTGCACATTAGTAGCCCAGTGTAAAATGTCAGAAGGCAAAATGCAGACAAAAACCAAAAAACAGACTGAATTTGAAAAAGGATGTGCTGGTTAAAAATGAAGGTCTGACGCAAGAGTTTATGCGTGGCTGTATCTCCTTGTATTGGTGTTTTCTAATCAGATGGAAACTAATATTTGACCTTAGCTAGACCTTTTATTAGTATTGGATCTTAACATTAGGCTGATTTTGTCAATGTGTGTGGATTTCTTCTAAAGATATTTTGTAAATGACTATTTTTGTTTTTCATAGGTCTCAAGGGATCTTGTGTGCTTTCTACAGCTGGACCATGTCAGTGTTTACTATGGACAGGACTATCGGAACAAATACAAAGCACCCACAGACTACTGTTTGGTACTAAAGGTAACACTGCAGCAACGTGGTATACCTTCAGTACACTTTTACTTCTTCTGAATGCTTTTCATTTTATTTTCCTCTAGTTCTTGTATACAACAGGAACAGTTAGTGAACAGTTGTCACCTGTTCTCTGTGCTCCTTGTGACTTTGTAAAGGTTTTCATATTGCTCTGAACTGTTTTATTTCCAGACTAATGAGCACCAGTCTTATTTAACTGTTCATCGTACTCTAAAACATACACTAAACTCTTCTTTTCCATTTGGCAACCCTATACCTTACAACAGTTTAGGTTCAGTGAGATAATATCCTTGAAATGCTAACTTTGGGGAGTTGCCATCTTCTCAGAGTGTAGGTCCAGAGCTGGGCAGAAATTTATATTAGAGATTCAAGTCTACCCTTGTTGCCCAATCTGGGGGAAAGAGGATGCTGTAAAGGAAGAAGCTTCTGCGTGTAAAGGACAGGTAGAAAGAACAAGTAGCAAAAACTGTTATAAAACTGGTGACCTGATCTTAAACTATGAGAATAATAACTTGAGTACGTCAGGGTTAATTGCATCGACACATCTCCCGGTTTCTCTTGGCTCCCACGCAGTGCTCAGAATGGTGTCAGTTCCTGCAAGATAACTGGGTACAAAGTTATTTTAAAACACTGTGTTCACAGCAAGTAAAGTGTCATCATGGATTTGAAAATGGTGCCAGTAGCAAGAGATGGTTATAGTTGCACTTTTCCCCTCCCTGATGTGTAGCTCATGCGGTGGTGTACATGTCAGTACATTAGACTGGTTAATATATCTGGAGTGTGTGGCTGTCCACTGCCTGAAAAAGGATTTCATCTTCAAATAGACAGGGCAACATGCATTTGAGCCCACTCTATGGTAGACACTGAATATTAAATATGGGACATGATATTCATGGAGAAAGCACACAGCTGAAACTAGAAGTATTTTCTTATAGGTCATTGATGCAGTTAATTGAATGCAGCCAAAAATGTCAGTGTTTGTAAGTATTTATAAATTGCTTGAAGTAAATTGATTTCTTCTGCTTACCTGTCACTTTCTGTCCATATCATTTGGACTGGTTGATAGTGAATTATTTTTTCAGACTTGTTGACCTCACAGAGTAAAACAGACTTAAGTAGATTTTTTTTTTTTTAAAATATTACCATTCTGAGCATAAAATTTGATGGTAACATTTTCATGTCTTCATTAATATGTTGAAATTGTCCCTTAACGTAAATTAATGGGGTAGTTGGATAACTTACACAAAGTGAATCTGTGTTTTCAGTGTGGAACTGATGAATCACCAAATTATTAAGCAGGATTGAGTTCTGCCTTCCTCAATTATTATAATGTTACATCAATGTTTTATATTAGTATCAATGTATAGAAATCACACACATTTTTTTACTAGAAATACAGGTTTGTGCTGCAAAGATTCACTACATTGGGCAGTATCTCCCAAAACATGAACATGGACATGTTTGGGGAGAGGTGAATGGCAAATACAAACTGAAGATCCAATTCTCACTGAAGTCCAGACTGGATTTGTCTTTGTGTTCACTTCCTTTGTTTATATCAAAACTTACTCTGCTCAAGCCAGGTGCTGTGCTTATATTGTTAAATATAGCATTTGTGTGCTAGTATTTGATAATAACTCTTTGGTCCTAAATGATAGATTTTTGAGAGATTCTCTTATTTCTATACAACCAAATTTTTTAACAAGTCCAGGAAGAAGGTGTCTTGTTAGCAAAGTAATTGTGCTTATATAGACTCATTACACAACCTGTATGTGAAGGAGGTTAGAAGTGAAAAATGAAAGCGATTATCTAATAGCATAAGGAGGTCTGTTATATATATTCTATTTATGGAGATAAACATGTTCTGTTCATACTGAAATAATTGTGTTGAGAGACAACAGGATAAAATACTCTGAAAAGAGACGAAAAGTCCTCTGATATGTTTCTGAGAGTCTTCAGTAAAACGTGAATACCTACAATCATCTAGCAAAACTCTGTGTCACTGAACTGTAAGCTAACAGAGGAAATTATAAGAACCTGAGTATTAAGAGTTGCCCCAACAGCTGAGAGACATGTAACTTCTACAGCATGGACAGGAAGCAACTGCATAATCACTTCATCCAGACTGATTTGCAGTGTCTGACTTCTGAAAAATATGCATTTGTTTCTTGACTTCTGAATTTATAAATACAGCATGTTTTCTTTTTTATACATGCATGTGGGAGCAGCAAATATTTTAGATGATAGCCCTGTATCAGTACAGCAGGAACCTGGAAGGCTCTACAAGCTGAAAATGGAATTATGCTTAACAGCATGTCATTTAGGGAGTGTTTGTTTCCTTCTAGGGTTTTTTTTTGATGTGACAAAAAGGTGAAATTTTAGTTGTCTCCCTCAGGCAGTGGGTTATTTCAGAGGTACAGAAGGCTGGTGGTAGGTAGGTAGTACTAAAGCCCTAAAATAATGGAAGACTTACCCTTTCTTAGTGTTTCAAACCTGAAATCGGTGCACACTGGACACACTGCCAATCCCTGTGTGAAGCAATCCTCACTGAAATTCACCTCCTGAGATAGTCTGAAACATTTTTAACTGGGTTCAAATGCAGACTTCTGTTGAAGAGCTTCCAACATTGTTTGTCTGTATAGACCTCAACAGCTTTCCTTGCATTCCTAGCTATTAAAGTATTGATGAATGTTAACAATTTTTCTGCAGCATCCTCAGATCCAGAAGAAATCCCAGTATATCAAGTATCTTTGCTGTGATGATGTAAGAACTCTACACCAGTGGATCAATGGCATCCGCATTGCTAAGGTAACCTCTAGGCAGTCGTGCACTTTGTCGTCCGTTGTCATCACCTGTTTAAAACTATTTACAGTTACTTAGCAAAATACATGTTAAATCTAACTTCCCTCTGTGTGACTATTCTGAACATGAACTGTACAGTCTTCTTATGTATTTCATTCCCTAGCAAAAATTTTTAGGCTTTGTTGTTATAATAATTCAGCAATTGGGCCCTTTCTTCTTGTTTCTGCTGCACCCCTGTCACATGGCAAAGTTCTAACTGCCATGCATCCTGGAGAGATTTTAGCCAGCTCCCTTACAGATTTTAGAAAACAGAGTTGTTTTCTAAGGTCCCCAGCTTGGTTTAGTTTATTCATTGGACCATTTCTTGCTTGACACTCTCTCTTCCAGCATAAATAAACTGTTTTTCTTTCTCTCAGCAATTCACTAATTAAAAAACCCCAAAATATTGCCTGAGCTCCTTTAACAAAGAGCCTGTCGTTGCTTTCTGGAAGCGAAAAAGTGTGAAATAGAGAAGCCAGAGGTGGAGCTCAACAGTCTGAAAAGGGTACACAGACTATATACAGTTGTTAAATTTGTTTGTCGTTTTACTTAGTATGGGAAGCAACTATACATGAACTATCAGGAAGCATTGAAGAGAACAGAATCGGCGTATGACTGGACTTCCTTGTCTAGCTCCAGTATCAAGTCAGGTTCCAGCTCATCTAGTCTGCCAGGTAATAATGTGATCTATCTCCTAATACAAAGATTTTAATTACTGTTTCTATCATCTGCTGTCTGGACACTTCAAAAGAGAGAGCACTGCAGGAAATGGACTGTTTCTCCAAAGTCTTTTGTGCTGTGTTTAGTCTAAACCACTGACTTTATGTTTAACATAAAAACACGTAAACAGTTCTATTGTTATATTACTTGCAGTGGTGTATGTATTTGAAACACATAGTACTTTCTTGTTCACCTCCAAAGAAGAGTATTCTGATACTGAGAAGAGGAAATATAATTAATTCCCAATTCCTCTATGTTTCATCTATTGGAAAAATCAAATTTGTGTTATAATGATGCATAGAATGGGCATCTGTAGCTTTTAAGCTGCTTTTGTTGACTGAAATATTTGAGATTGGAAAATGAGAGATAGTCCCTCTCCAAAGGCAAAAATCCAAACAGTTTTATTAGAGACCAGCTTTAAAAATACTGTTTCTGTTCCTATGTCAGACCGTACCTGTCTGCAGTAATGTGCTCCTGTTTACCTCTCAGCAGGACTGGGACTGACTTTTTGGAGGACATAACAGTTTAAAAATTGATGAATGGTTTATATAGTGTCATTTCACTGTTCAGAGGTGACTGGTGCTTTGCCAGGTTGTTCTGAACCCTCAGGGGCTGGATTAATAATTGACAATGTGCGGTAGAGTGTGAGAGTGTTTTGTCCACTGCAGACACAGGTCAGGAAGTAATGCTACTGAATTGGACAGGTTCAGAAAGTAGGCTGTGAGAATGAGATGAGCAAGTTCAGCCTAACTGGGAAGGCATCTTTTTGGCTGTGTAGTGTAGCTTGCCAGGTGTAGCAGTAAGTTCTTGGTTATTGACAATTTCTCTATCCAAGTTGGGTGTTTTTTCTGATCAACTGTCTCTTGTAGGGAGCTGAGCCACAGCTGTCAGCTATGAGTGCTCTGCCAGAGCTGCATTCCAACCTGTGCCTAGATGCTCTTTTTTTCCTAGGACAGTTTAGGATTACACAGAAAGCAGGTACCAGGCTGAATAAAATGGTCTGGCAGTGGCTGCTGTCTTTTCAAGATATCCTGTGGGCCCAGAGCATCATCATCAGTGTTGGGTAGTTGCAGGAAGCCCATCATTTCTTCTCTTCTGCTGAGGAATGGGTTGCTGGAAGCAGTCTCGTGCCTTGGCTAGTGTAGTTTGCCTGTCCTTAGCCTGTGTCCAGTGTTTGTTTCTAAGGTTGTGCTGGGGAGGAATGCTGGAGAGAGCAGGCTGCATGCACTGCATAAAATATGGCTTTTCCCAAAGTGCAGGAGCTGCTGGGTGTTTCAGAACCCATACAACTGCAGTGTGTTTTTACTTTGGAGTGTATCTGACATGCTGCCATCTTTGTGTAGCTTCAGGTTTGATTGATACCAGGGATCTATTGCACTGTTTTATTTTCCAGACAGTAGTGGCTTAAATGTGAGCTAGAGCGTATGCAGTAGTCACTGGGAGCAATGTCCTTTGGTGGACATTGTTTAACAACAGTGACCAATAAGTGTCACACAGACTTGCATTATAAGCATGCTGACTTTACTCTTATATTCAGAAACATATGCTAATTGTTTCTTAATTTTTTTTTTTCTGAACAGAATCTCAATCAAATCATTCTAATCAGTCTGACAGTGGAGTTTCTGACACCCAGCCAGCTGGACATGTCCGTTCCCAAAGTATTGTCAGCTCCATGTTCTCCGAGGCCTGGAAACGAGGCACTCAACTGGAGGAATCCAGCAAGGTAACAAGAAGACTTTAGTTTGAGAACCAGCACTCAACCAGTTGTACGACACAGAGTGATATACCTCTTCCACCTCTGTCCTGAGTGCATTTCTTCTCTTTTTTATCTTACATTATTGATTTACACTTCTATATAATTGTTTTTTCAGGATTGATTTTTCAGGGAATTCAGCCCTGGAACTTTCTGTTCTTGCTCTTATTTGTGTGCACAGAAGCCCTCTGTTCTTTGAAGGCATGATACAGCCCTTCTCATAGAGTCGTATTAACTAATGTTGAATGAAGGCAAAATAAAATGATAAGCTGTTAACAAGTTGAATGAAATTCTTTCACTACGATATTTTTCCAGTTAGGTAGCCACATCTCCCCATTGTAAAGATGCGAATAACTGAGACCTAAAGGCAGGTATATCTGTTTTGAAGTACTTCAGTAGTACTTTCCACTCAAACTTTTTACTCAAAAGTTTTGTTATATTAGGTGGAAATGGAAACAGTAACCTCAGACACAGTCACAGCAGTTGTGAACTTGGTATCTACTCTTGCTGGTAAAGAGTTACAAAAGATTTTAACTCACCGAGCCTGGGGCTCAGGTCTGTTGTGATTTGGTTAGTTTTCTGTTCTTGTGGTAGTTGACTGGTGTACTTCCTGGGGAAGATTTCCAAACACAGCAAAAGTTCCACTTAAGTTGGTTTGTTGTCAGGTTCAAAGGAATCTCCAGGTTTGAGAACAGCCTTGATGTCATTAACTGTAGTAGCTACACGAGGAATTACATTGGCAGGACACTGAGAAGCTGTCTTCTGTCAAGTCTGAACCTTCCCCAGACCCCAGGTTCAAGCTAGAGAAGCAAGCTTTTTAAAACTAAAACTAAATCCATGCGTCACTACACCTGGCACTGGTGCTTCAGATAAAAAACTAAAAATAAGATAAAACATCACATTTTGAGATAAGAAAGCACGTGTGACAATGTGAAAGCTGACATGGCTAAATTCTTTGGGGTTCATAACTTTTCTGCAGTGCCTGCTGGCTTGGAAATTGTCTGATTCTAATAGTACTCAGTCCAGGAATGTAGCTTGCTAAATTGTGATCCAAGTTTTTCTACTGCATGAGTGCAACACCTGGTGTATGTCCCTCAGCAGATGGCTTGTGCATGGGTACAGGGTGCATCCTTTCTGCAGGAGTGGGATAGATGCACAAGATGAGGTACTTGCTAGCAGGTATCCGACAGAGGTGAGAGTACTGCTGTGAGAATGGTAATGTTCCTGTTTCCTCAAGTTTTGGGTTCAGTGTAAAAATCCTGCTGCTACGCTCAGTGAGCCCTTAGGCAAAAGTTTGAAGTTTATCACCATGGGGTCACTGTTGCTCTTATTAAGTCTGTAGTGCTGCTGGTAATCACTCATTTAAATAATCCCCAAGAATTTTTATGTTGTTTGATAAAAGCCATTTTAAAATTAAAATGTTCATAATACTTCCTCTTGAGGGCCATCCATGTATCAAGATTTCATTAATTCAAATTCCTTTTTGTGCACAAATCCAAGAAAGGGTATATTTCATTACCTCATGCATAACACAGGTAAATGGATCGCCCTAAAACTTCAAAAGAATCCAAATGAAAAGAACCATGTAAAGGTATCATTTGAAACCATGTTAAAAAAATTCTGAGTGAATTGGTGACAAATCTACCTTCAGTGAAACTACAGTACAGGTTTGACTCAGGGAACTTACATAACTAATAATTCAGATTGGCAGTGGAAAATGTTAGGCTGTGTGGCAAGAAAGGAAACAACTGTGTTGAAAGAATTGTAATTTACGTGGGACATGCTGGTTTAGGGAGACAAGTCTCCAAACAGTTATTTCAGAGGCAGTGCTTTGGTGACAAAGCTGGCTTAAGACGTTCATGTGGGCAGGTTGCTGCAAGTGCCAGGATGTGTCCAGCATGTCCTTCCCCTTCTGCAACAGCTCTCTCCCACCTTGTCACCCTTGGCTCATCCCCCTCGGCAGGCAGGGCAGAACACAGCATGCTTTGGCTCAGCAGGGATGTGATGTTGATGCTGGATCTCCAGCCAGGTTGTTGCACTGGTTGGCTAGTGGCTAACAGGTTAATAATGGGTGAGTTCTGCCTGCTTTTCCCTCATTTACCAGCTGCCAGTAACTTCACAACAATTTATTGAAGCTGAAAACATACTGAGATTTCTAGGAGTTTGTCATATTTGACCTAAATTTGCTAACCAGTCCAAAGGCAATTAGCATGGGAAAAGAGATGGCAAACAGTTCAGTTGCAAAGGTTCGTTTTCTTAGGAAAAAAAATAGCTAAAAAACCCCACAGTTGATACTTCAAAAATAGATACTGTTGTTTTTATAGCATTTTTGAGAATTCCAGATAGTCATGAAGATGCATGTTACAAATATGAAATTGCTAGTATGTAATAAGTAATTCCTCAAGATACACAAAAGGATGTCACATAATTGTAAGGACAAAAAAAGCACAATTATCTCTTTCAAGGTTCTTCTGTAAACAAAGTACGACTAAATATGTTTCTGGATGTGGAAATTTTATTTGATTCTGTGGAGATGAGAGGGGCTTCCCCTTCTCAGATGCACAATAGTCTTTTCCCTGTTGTGAGTGTTTAATTTGCTCACTGTGAAAATAACTGCCTTCAGTGGATATGAGGAAAACTCCCTCTTTCAAATATATCTAAGATTTTAAAAAAAATGTTTCACAAAGTGCAGATAATCCATTTACTTCATATTTTGAAAGATTGCTCTTTGCTCAAAGCATACTTTATTCATCTGTTCACATTGTTCACAGTTGGGCAGTGAAGATCATTATGCCTTAGTTTGTTTGTTAGATTTTAAACACATTATTTCAAATGGGATGCTACAACAAGCATCGAAATGCATGGTCACTGTGTCTGCTTTAAGGGACAAACTGAAGATTCTCCAAGGTCTTGCCATTCAGGGATAGTTATTCTGTTATGCCTTCTTCTCCCTCTCTGTCTGTTTTATTGCACTTTTACTTTTCCTATTGCCTTTTGCTGTCTCAGGTGTCAAAAGTGAAGCTCAGCACAACTAAAGGCAGCACACCCATGGTGCCTTATACAGGGCACAATTCAGGTCAGGTAGTGCTACTTGAAAATCCATTAACCTGAGTGATTGGGAGAATGGTAATTTACAGACTAACACCTGCAAAACATCAAGATTTCTCTCCTGTTTTGTAATGTGAACACCTTGATTTAGTTCCAGAACTGTTAATACTCTTGCCTTCCAGACCTACTGTGACAGGTAGAGGCACACCTCATGTTTGTGGTAAAATCACTGTTTGTTGTTTCTGACTCTAATCCTTTTGGTGGAGTTCTGCACATATAGACACTCTGTGCACCTGTGTTTAGAACAAAGTGATTTGCAAACCTGCTCTTGCAGTGAAAATGAGCATAGTTGGGCTAACTTATTGCAAGGTATCCACTAATAAGGCAGAGGTACCCAGCGTGCTCAGTTGCCATGGTGGCATCGTATTTCTAATGCATGTTTCTGTGCTGTGCACTGTGCAATTCACACCTGGGCTTGTAGCCAAAACACTTCGTATTGGGAGGATGTTTATAAACCTGAGTAATGCAATTATTGTTTAGTAGGCTTACAGTTTTAGAGAAACAGCTTAACTTGAGCAAAACCCTATGAGTAGACTAAAATATTGCCTGCTGCTTTCCCATTGCTCCTTCCCTTAGTCAGCTTTTCCCTGTCTTTCCTTAATTTTTCTGCTTATTGTGATAGTTGCATGTATAACTTTTCTTTCCCAACCTAACTTTCTTTTGCAGATATCTAAACATTTCCTTCCGGGGAAATTTTCCTAGGAAACCTCAGTTTTCCCTCTTTTTCCTTATTTTTTTTCCTCGCTAATCTTGGATACCAGAGCATGTGGAGGAAAAGGATCTCAATAGTATTCCTCTGTAGAGCTTGCTCTCAATATGTTTTAGAGCAGTTCAGGATTTCTGCATTTTTTAACACTGAACAGTGTTGTAAGGCCTGAGCTACCCCATGTAAAGATCTGACATGCTCTGGGAGGCCGTGTGTGGTCTAATGCCAGTCGTACTGAGCTGAGGTGTCCACAGAGTCTCTTGCTCTGCCTGATGTCCTCTGTCATGGCCTGTGGTGCTCTGGAGGGGACTCAGTTTGGGTCATTATACTTGCCTAAAGGAGGCCAGTGGGTACCACTGCCTGCCCCACAGAAGTAACAAGGCTGGCATATTTTCTCCCTGACAGTCAGCATAGCTTGGAATAGACCTGGCTCCACCTATTCTTGCCGGCTCTCCCCCCTGACCTGGCCCATTAGAAAGCATGGTCCTGGCTTGTCAGGTGTATGGAATTGTCTCTTGCTCCATTGTTTTGCTAATACTTCTTGCATGCTGTAATCTACCTCTTAATTTTTAATGACAGGCACATTTAGACCTTGACTTTGTAACCTCTTTGTCTCCTTCCCTCTCTCCCTCCCTCCCTTCCTCCCTCTCTCTTCTCTTTCTCCCTTTCCACTTTCACTAAAAATCCCTTCCCCATAGGCCCGAATGGAGCCTGTAGGTCGGCCCTTCGTGTCTGTCACAGCTCCTGTGTCCCCACAGACGAAGGTGGTGACCCCCTACACAGCATCC